CAAACTTCACTGGTTCAAGGGGTGCAGCTGCTGGCGGTGGTGATGGTTCCTGATGTTGTGCTCCTCCTTCTTCCGTCCAACTCGGGCTCGCAGTTCGGCCACCTCTTGTTTGAGTTCGCGCGATAGTAGTCCAGGTGGTTCACCTCCTCCCACTAGGTCGTCCATCCTCGGGCGATACCTGGCCACCAGATCATCAACGATCGTGATAGGCATCCATTGTCAAATCCACAATGTTGGTGGTGGTGATAGTTTCTGATGTTGTGCTCCTCCTTCTTTCGTCCGGCTCGGGCTTGGTGAATTGATTTAGGTTGTGGTCTGCCTCGATCACGTCGTTCCACTGCCAGAAGGTGCTTTCGTCGAAGATAATGTCGCAAGACACGTGAGCTCGCCCCCCTGCAAGATCATAGAGTTTGTACGTCTTACTCCCGAGTTCGTAGCTGATGAAGATGACCTTCAGCACCCTAGGATCGAGCTTGGCGAGGTGGGGACGTGCTACCTTCATGTATGTGACGCAGCCAAACACTCAAAAATGACACTCCCACGATCAGTCGCTGCTCGTCGTGGCCGTGCGTGTACATGCCATGCTCAGAGGCACAATGCTTGAACTTCAGCAATAGTAGGATTCTTTGAGTTTCGCGTTCCAGGCTGGTGGTGATTGCTGAAGCCCATAGAGGTATGCAGACACAATACATGGGCCTTAGGTTCATTTGCGCTGATGGCATGCAGTTCGGCCACCTCACAGTCCGTGGTGTTGCAAACTTCACTGGTTCAGGGGGTGCAGCTGCTGGCGGTGGTGACGGTTTCTAATGTTGTGCTCCTCTCTTCTTCCGTCTGGCTCTGGCTTGGTGAATTGATTTGGGTTGTGGTCTTCCTCGATCACGTTGTTCCACTGCCATAAGGTGATGAAGACTTCTTACCGTCTTTGCGGCTGGAGGACCCATTCACTCACTCGATGTACTCAACGTCTGTCATCGCGGCATCGACCTTCTTTATGGCGATGATGGAGAAGCCAACACTCGACGGCGGCGTGGAGGAGTGAGCAAGCCTGCTCGGGATGGACCCCACGATCTGTGTATTTTCGCACTTTTAATTTTCTTCTACTTGAACCTGAGACCTGTGTGTTGTTAGGTCGACACTCTATTCAACTTGACTGTTGATAAAGTTGGCTCCTCCGCAATGATATACCACCGATGGATTAAACTTAACTCTGATACCACTTGTTGACTTCTGGCAATTGAGAGGAAAACGTCGACCGAGAAAAAATAACGGAAAGGTAAAGGAGAGAGATATTTGCTGAAGACCCGATGATTGTTATTTGATTCAATTTCACGTATTATTTAAATAACAAAACTTGCCCCCAAAGTTGGCCAAAATGGCCAGCAAAAATTACGCTCTTCCATTAAACGGGGAGCGTTAATTCAGATATTTCAAAAGTAAAAAACAACTAACGAGATTTAAGGAAACCATAGCTTTTATCTAACACCAAGACAGCGCCCAGCAAGTCTACTACAACCCTTAAAGGTCGCTCAATAGAAATGGGAAGTAGTTTGTATGGATTTTATCTCGGGTTTGCCCAAGACCAAGCAGAGCTTCAACGTAATCTGGGTAGTTGTTGAAAGACTTACCAAAATGGCTCACTTCATCCCAGGCAAATCCACTTAACTTGTGGATCGATGGGCTCAACTGTATATCAGAGAGGTAGTACGCCTGCATGGGGTACCGATGTCCATAGTATCTAATCGGGACACTAGGTTCACCTCTCAGTTTTGGAAAAGCTTCCAAAAAGCATTGGGGGACTTAAGCTAACAGCATTTCATCCTTAGAAGGATGGACAGACCGAAAGACTGAACCAAATCTTAGAAGATATGTTGCTAGCATGTGTCATGGATTTTGCTGGGTGCTGGGACGAACATCTATCTTTGAAAGAATTTGCTTACAATAACAGTTTTCAAGCGACCATCCAGATAGCCCCTTTTGAGGCACTATATGGGCGTAGGTGTCGAACACCAATATTTTGGAAAGAAGTAGGCACGCGGCAACTACTGGCCTCAGAATTGGTTCAGGTCACCAACGTAGTGAGGGGGTGATGAGTAGAAGGGACCTTGAGTTCAAGGTGGGTGACCATGTGCTCTTGAAGGTAGCTCCAATGAGGGGGTGATGAGGTTTGGACAGAAGGAAAAGTTAAGCCCAAGGTTTATAGGCCCTTTCGAGATTTTAGAGAGAGTTGGGGCCATGGCTTATAGGATTGCTCTACGAACCTTGCGGCCGTTCACAACGTGTTCCATGTGTCTATGCTGCAAAAGTACACCCTAGACCCTACTCATGTGATTGAACACGAAACCCTTTCTCTTCGGGGAGATCTTTCATACGACAAAAGATCAGTAGAATTTTGGCTCGAGACACTAGGCAACTGCGCAACAAAGTTATCCCCTTGGTGAAAGTCGCATGGGGTAACCATCGAAACGAGGAGGCAACCTGGGAATAAAAAGATGATGTAAGGAGAGCTATCCCGAACTCTTCCAAGAGATACAACTTTCAGGGACGAAAGTTTCTAAGGTGGGGAGAGTTTGTAATGCTAAAAAAAAAAAACGGTCAAAGTCAAAGGGGCAAAATGAGCATTTTACCCCTCAGCCCATTACAGGGTCTTGAGGATTCTCCACAGAGTACCTACAAAAGAGAAAAGTGTGAGAAAGAAAGTTGAGAGAAAACTTGAGAGGAAAAAGTAAATCGCCGGAATCCTCGTCGGAGAATCACCAACGAAATTCATCCTCTAACGAGACTTACACTTTGGAATTTCTTCTTGGAGAGAAGAAAGACTCGTGTTTGAGATTCCTTCTTTCGCCAAGATCCGAGAGAAATTCGTAAGGTAAGATCTCGAACGTTACTTTTCAGATCTGAGATCTTCGTTTGGGAATAGAGCGTTAAAGTTTACTATCTTCATCTAGGGAAGATCCCCCACTGATTTTGTGAGGAAATCGGATGAAACGTTGAGATCTGAGAATCTTTCCAAGAACGGTAAGGATGTTATCGAACCTCTTTCCAACACTCATAACTTGTCGTATGATTAAGTAAAAATTAAGAAAAAAAAATATTGGCACGTAGGTTGTAGTATAATCTAAAACTTTGTTGAAGAAGTCATTACGGTTTGGATTAAGAATCGAGAGATAGAAAAATGAGAAGAACGTTGGAAAACTGATTGGAAACCTCGATTTTCTGCTAGGAGGAGAGAGAAGGCGATGGCGCGCCACATGTCAACTGGCAAGAGGCCCGCGTGCACCAACGACCACCGGATACATGTTGAATGTCGCCTAGGGAGACGCGGCTCCAACCTTCCAGTGACACACATCCACGGCCAGCGGATACACACATCCAATGCCACCAGATAAGTGTCGAATGCGTTCCTCTGCTGACCTGGTACCCGCGCGACGAAATAAAACCCGGCGACCCGCGATCCACCCGAACCACTGCACTCAAACCAAACCGACAACTCGTGGGTACAGAAAATCATGGGCGCATGACATTCGTGCGTGGAACTTGCGAGTGACTTTGTTCTGGCGCGTGGAAGCACGTGTAAGCCCGTTTTCGTCCCGTTCGACTCCTGTTTTCCCTATTTTCCTCCCGAATCCAATCCTAACTCTATTTTATATGAAATAGGATCTAATTGAGGAAAAATTAATACTTTTTAATACACTAATTGTGTGGAAACGGTGCGTAAGAGCACACATCATCCAGGTAAGTCACCACGCGTAACTTTAGGAAGAAATACTTTGTAGGAGTCGCTTGGTTATGCATGCATGCTAGTTTAATTATCTTAGGTGTAGCCTTCCGTGATTGCATGCATGCTAGTTTAATTATCTTAGGTGTAGCCTTCCGTGATTGATTGTAGGTATTTGATTGTTAAGAGTAAGGATGTATTATGTGAAATATTATGATAATTATCTGAGTATTGCTATTATGTTTTAAGCTTCCTCTTTATATATATATGATTAATTCATGCTGAAAGGAGTATGGGAACTTGTGAACTCTGCACTCTAGGAGCTTGATGGATGTTATCGCCCCGTTGAGCATGCATGTTTATTTTGCATGAATTTTGTATGAAGACGCTGAATGATAGTTGTGTGCACAATCAGTTAATTTCCATGACCCACAGGTATGGTAACGTCTAGGGATTTGTGGTTAGAGTGACAAATCACTAAGGTATAGACCTAACCTTTTCCCCTGGTAGTGTAACAGACCACCACGACGTACGAACCCTCTCTAGAGTGCTCTTAAGATACATGTGTGTGATTGGTGTCATAGCTTCGTGGGGGACCAAGGAGTTTCTGATCAGAATCCAACTGCTCTTAGCTGTTTTAGCATGAAAACGTGTGCCCACGTCGTATAGACCATTTAGCTGGATGGGTTAAGGGGATAGCTCTCCCAAACCTAGGGAACTGTCATGGGCTTAGAGGGTTGCAACTCACTTCCTAGGTAAGATACAAGATAGTCTCAGAGTCATGCCGAGGTGTAGGTACTCGTAGGGCACCAATCATTACACAGGTCGACATAAAGGAACTCTAAAGGATTTTTTTTAAATGAAAAGACAAAGAACCAAAAAGCCGCAAGGGGCAAGTTAGTTAAGATTAGGTTGCGATAAGAACCTACAAGTAGGTGATTCAATGAGTATAATTTTATACTCATTCTTGCTATACCTTTCTTTTTCAGGTACGTGATGCGTCGAGTCAAGAGAGGGCACGTTGAACGATGTGGGTTGTCATAGAGGAAGCGTGTCCCGGCGCGTTAGTCTAGTCTTACTGATTAGTACACTTTGTCCTTCATGTTTTCTTTCCTTGTTTAAAACAGTTCACCTATGTCCTCTTTGTATTGAGACGCTTTTCTTACGAAATAAATTATTCATTTTTGAAATAACGTTTTCCTTTAAATTTCTTGCATACAAACTACACTGTCATAGTCATTGTTAGTCACGACTTGGAGGTTAATTATTTTTTTGGTCCGAACCGGTTATGAATACATAATTTGACATACGAATTTGGAATGAAAATAGTTACAAACTCATGGCATTGAAACTACTGGGTGAAATTGCTTAGGAAGTAGAGAAGAGGTTAGGAAGAGGAGGAGAAGTTGTCAATGATGGTGGTGTGGAGGGGGTCGCTGAGATGGGTCGCCCAGTTATTGAGCGGCCCTTTCCCTGTCACAGCAGCTTGAACAGCGAACCCAAGGAAGGCAACCATGGCGAGGCGAGCGTGTTTGATCTCAGCCAGTTGAAGAACAGCTTTCTTCTCCGGATCCTCCGCCAACCCCAGCGGGTCGAAAAACTTCCCTCCAGGGTACAATCTCTTCTCCGGCTCTAGCTCCGCGTTCCTCTGAAACTCGATGTATCCGATCACCAGAACTTCGATCCAGATCAATGCCGTGAGCGAGAACGGAAGCGGCTGCCCGAGGTACGATGACCCTTCCACCAATTCTACCTGTAACCAAGTTTGTTGGAGGGAGTCCCAAAAGGAATGAATAAGCTTTTTGGAAAGTCTAAAACAAAGTTACAATAGCATTCAGAGTGGACAATAATATCATATTATAGTGATTCTTAACCTGGAATAGAATTACCCTCTATTCAAAGACTCCAAAGAAAGAATAAAGAGAGGCAGACTCCATAGATCTAAGTGATATAAGTAATAAATAAATCTTTATTGGTAAATTTACAATAGAACCATTCTTACCAAACTAAGAAAATTATATTAGGGTTGAAAAATTATATTACGGTTGAAAATGTCAAATGGAACCAACTGACTGACCTTTCCAGCGTCTTGCCAAGTGACGCCGGTGAGCCATTCGACGGTGAGAGCGCCGAGGGTTGCTAGCATCGCCCATCTTCCATGGATCAGCTCGCACTCACGAAATCTCTGCAACCCAAAAACCTCCGTGTACGGTTGAAACGGCGTCGATTTCACTTCGGAGTTCTCAAATCTCGTCCCTATTAGATCTCCAGCCACATTCTTCGCCAGATTCTGATCCAACGAGTCCAAATCGTATTGCAGATACTCTGCTGGTTTCCCCAATCCAAACGGATCGAATCCGTAGTCGCCGACCAAGCTTCCATCGAGCCATTCCGGCGCCTTGGCTCCGGGGAACCATAGAGGTCGGTCGGGAATCTGCTTTGACGAAGGCGATTTCTTCGCCGGGCTTTTCTTTTTGCCGAATGAAAATCGGGCTTGGACTCGGCCGGAACTTGACCGCACGTCGGCGAGGCGTGTTCCGATGAAGGAGGAGGTGGCGGCGGAAGTGGCGGCCATTACGACGGCGAGTCGAGAACGGGGGATTAAGGAAGGAGAATGAGATGGAAGTAGGGATTTTGGTTCGGATTTTATGTGGTTTTGAAAAGGGTATTGTGATCGGCGATTGCCACATAATCTGTTTGTGAGGATTTCTTGTCCGTTTGATTGTGAGACGAATCCATCTGACGGCTGTTGTGAGTTGAAGCCTTATCTATTCCTTATCCCTTGTACTGGGAACGGTGGGCTCCAAGCGCCCACGTGTCACTCCAGAAGTTCGTGGTTGTGGTTTCTCGTGGGGGGTGGAGGGCCTCCGCCCACGTGCGCCTCCACCTTGACTATTATATCAGATACCATCTAAAAAAAAATGGAAGCAGTAAGGTTGAGTATAAAAACAATCGATGGTCGGGCACCCATTTCGTGACACCAGCGCGTTTTTGCCCACGTTCTACTGCGGTTCCGAAAAGTTGCTCCACAGGTGTGTTTTTTTCGCACCCATGCAAAAATATATTTTCTGGCATTCTAGTGAGGAATGCTCCAATTCGATGGTTAGGAACCGAATTTTCGACACCGACACGTTTTCTTTTTAGTTCTATGGCGGTTCCGAAAAGTTGCTCATAGGTGCGGTTTTTTCGCACGCATGCAAAAAAATATTTCCTACATTCTAGTGGAGAATGCCCCAATTCGATGGTTGGGCACCTATTTCGCAACACCGGCGCGTTTTCGCTAGCATTCTACAGCGGTTCCGAAATGCTGCGAACCAACAGACATCAACCATACAATATATTTCAATAAAGATTGAAGAAAATACTATTGAAATTATCGAAAGATATTTTAATTCATGTCACATTGAAGTAGGATTACAATTTAGAGTAATCTAGAGTTATTGTATTTCATGAGTGTATTTTAAGACTTTTTATTTATTTTAAATTACATTTATATCATGGTTAATTATGACCATAAACTATGAACATTACTCTTGTGCCTTTAATAGTTTGACTATATAAAGTCATGTATGTTGTATCTGTAAGATGACTTGTAAAATGTAGTAAAAAGAGCATTTGTGCTTGACCCAATGACTAAGTTTTTTTTCAATATACGTACTTTAGGTTGCATGTAAAATCATTCAATCTTAACATGATCAATCTTGTTTGTGGAGTGATTCGAATCTCAAACAAGCTTTCTTCCCTGATTTCCATATCAAGAAGTCTCTGAACTCACATTGATAACTCCAGCGTTCTTCGTTGCTCGGAAGTACGAGGGAATCTTCTATTTTTTCAAAGAAATGTATTTTTGAATGATTATAGATTCATTAATATCGACCTTTTAATATTTTTTTTATCTAAGATTATATTCAATGATTATGTATTGCGGATAATATAGAGAGGTCAATGAGATAGGAGCCTTCCTTATCTCCATCACCTTCACATATTTTAAATTTTATCTTTACTGATTTATACTGATAAATTTTTGCACGAATCGAATTTACTAGAGATAAGTTTTTCGTGTTTATTATTTTTTTTAAAAATACAATTATTTGAAATAATAGGAGACTACTTTGGCCTGAGAAAAACTTTTAAATAAATATTTAAATTAAAAAAAAACCTTTAAACTTTAAATCTCACTTAAAAAAAACTTAAATATAAATATAATTAAACTTTTAAAAGTGTAAAAAAAATAATATAATATATAACAAAATATCTTAAAAAAATTTAAAAAAAGATTGGGTTGTTAGGTAATTCTTTTTAAAAAAAAGTTGTTCAAAAATTATATTTATTTGTAGTAAATGTTATATTAATAACTAAACGGTCATAAAACTCAAATATCAAACATGCACAAATCACAATGCGTCACTAACATTAGTAATCAGCGTCAAATATTCAATCTAATTAATGTCGGAATAATCTAGATAAAAAAATGTCAATTTATAACCAATCTAAATTTTTTCGTTTTTCAAAAATTTAATTCAAACTCAAAAAAAAAAAAAATTAACTAATATGAATTCAACTACTGACCCTTTGTATGTACTCGAATGACCGATCATCTTCAAATGTTAGCTAGCATATAAGTTGAAAAAAAAAAACTTTTGAACCCAAAAATCTTTATAGTATTATCATATCAAATCAAAAAAATAATTGAGCGACTGACATTGGACAGTGATTAGAAGACGTTGTCTTAGTAGTTGAACTATCTATCGATCAAAACAATTTATGTATACCTTATTTTCTTCCATTTATATTTACTAATTTTTATTAGTAGTTGTAATTTGTAATTGGTAGATGAACTTCATTATATTTGGATTATCTTTTTGGCCTATTTAAAGGCATGTAGTATTCATGATCTTCAAACAAAACCTTTGTGTTTTCTCGATACTTTTTAGTGTTATTCTTTTTCAAACTTTGCTACGTTTAATGTTTAAATCTATTCATCAAATTAGCTTTGATCAAGCTAATTCTGGAGTGAGTCGTCTTGGAATCTAAGAGTGATCCGTATAGATTCCAAGTTCGATCTAAGAGTCATTCATCTTCTAACCAATTCTTGGTTAGAATCAATTCGTTAAGTTAGTTTTCTTTGAACGTTTGTAAGGATTCTAGAAGAACCTCTAGCTTTGCAAAATCCAACATTATTGACACTTATCACTAACCCAACATAATATTTATGGTTTGGATTCGGTAGTCCAAATTAACTAATTATTTAGTAAATATTTAATTCTAAATAAACAAGTATTATATCCCATCCAATATTTAAATGATAATTTTTTTTTATAGATAAATACAGATAATTAAACATATTGATATTTATAACCATTAAAAAAATGTGTTTGCAGGGAATTCATTATTTATTGATAAATAAATTATAAGAAATTAAATTATTGGTGAAATATTATTATCATTTTCTAATTTTTAATTTTAAAAAAACATATATATTTATTTAAAAATTTTATAATGTGTCTCTTTTTGACTTTAGACACAAATTTGTCTAAAGTTAGCTTTTTCAGTAAAAAAAAACATTGTCTGAAAATTTATTAATAAATATTATTTTTTTAATAAAATATGTCGCTTTGGCTCTTCATATGTGTTCACAATTTTTGTTTTTTGTTTATTTTATGTTCACATATTGGATATATGTTCTAGTTATGTTTGTTAATGACGTGTTGTCTATGACCGCATGCTTATTCCAAACTCATTTTACATAATTTCATCTTAAATAGATACCAAAATCATGTCTACACACGTTAAGGCTAAAATGGTCTAAAATGTACTACAAAAGGAGGTGTAGTTAGTTGTCCGTTCTTTCTATCCTAAGTTATATGCTATTTATTCTATGATGTTTTTTTCTATACTTATACCCATATGATATTTTGCTTTCTTCAATTTTTTCAAATGTTTTAAAACATTTCTCGTAAACGTGACTCATGGCTCAAGTATACGCCGCCGACGTTGTCTGCAAAATCTGAATTTCTCACGGATGACTTATTCGTTGAGTTAGAATAAGAGTCGCACAATCACTTTCTTATTTTTGCAAGAGTAGATTCGAGTTTAAATACTTGTACATTAAAATAGGTTGAATATTGAATTGGTTAAAAGATTCCGACAATATTAAATTTAAAAATAAATAAAATAAACCCTTCATATATATGTTTTTTTTTTTATAACATATCAACATGGAAGAAATTAAAGGAAGAAGAAACACTGAAATCTTTGTTATTTCAGTAAATTTGGGAGTTTTATGGTAAAATCATAATTAGAAGCAGGAAGAAATAAAGTGTTCATGGTGCTTGTTTTTTTTTTTTTTTTTTTTTTTTTTTTTTTTTTTTTTTTTTTTTTTTTTTTTTT